ACCATCACACAGCCAACTTACACCATTTCCATCACCTCAGAAAGAAGCCCTGTTAACGTTAGCAATTGCTCTTGATGACCCTTCGCCCAAAGCAACCACTCATCTACTCTCTGTCTATATAGATTCACCTGGTCGGTACATTTTCTACAATGTGCACTTGCACACAAGGGCTTGCTTTCTTTTTGAAAGAATATCTGTCTGTTACAGCTCCACTAAGAATGGAGCTTTGAATCTAATTTTTGGTAACCTCCAGCCTCCTTGAAATATGTAAGAAATTCTTTTACTAAGTTCTTTCCCCAGTGAGTCCTCCTCACTCTTCCTCATGAGCTTGTTCCTAGAAACTGCTGGGGAGGGGCTCAGTTTTCATTTCTTTGCGGAAGCGCCCCGGGGCGCTGGGTCTGCTGCTGTGGTCCTGAGAGCTTTCCCTCCTGTGTGACCAGCTGGGGTTCTCTGTTCCTTCTCCTTCACCAATGAGCACTAGAGACCTGCTGGGGGTCACAGAAGGCCCTGGGGCGCAGACCAGACTCAGCGAGAGAACCGCTGCTGAGGCCTGCGCGTTTGCTAGGAAATCCAGGTCAAGCCTCGTCCCTGGAGCTGAGACGAATGCATCCTGTTTCCACATCCTGTTTGTGGCAGGGCTGTGGGTGGGGAGGGGAACACCAGGTTTTCCCGTGGGGGACGTGCACTATGGGCCCCGGCGTGAGGAAGCCAAGTGGAGGCGTGTCCTTCAGGGTAGTTCACACGCCGGGTTGGCCTGGTTCAGGGGGCTGTGTCCTCGCTGAGTGCCCACTGTCCTACGTCGTCTGAGCCTTTGAGCTCACCAGGGTGGGAAGGGCAGGCAGAGCCGCAAGCGTAGGTTTCACAAAATAAATGGGCTGCACCAAGAACCAGGCATCGGCGTGCATGTTATGTATTCTTTTGCTTTACTCCATTTACCGTCTGCCAAGGCTGGTAACTGCCATCTGCCAAGGCTGTGGGTACGAGGGCAAGGTCACTGTCAGGGGTTGGTACTTTCAGTGCGCTCCCCGTCTGTGATTGATCATCTGGGTCACCTCCCCGTCCCCCTCCTCGCCAGGCTTCAGCTCAGTTACACAGAGATGAGTGTGAGTCAGTTGGTCTCCAAGCTTTCTTGTGGCCTGAGCCCTCTTTCATATTGTGACCCAGTCGAAAGCGCGCCCTGGGCCCCAGCTCTGCATAGCCTGTCCACCGAGGCAGCTTGCTCTCGCTGGTGTCGGCGTTGGTGTGGACAGAGCCTGAGCCCGAATTTAAGTTCTGTTAGTTGTGGACGTAACTTCTCTAACCTCAGGTTCCTAATCGATAACGAGCCCAATGACATCTCCCTCTGAGGGTCTTTGTGCAGGATGCCTAGTGCGGTGCCTGGCAGGACGCGGTGCCCACGTTGCCCTTGTTCCATCCCCACCTCCCCACCTCCTCTGTAAGGCGGGGCACTGCCCAGGACAGTGGCCATGTGACTGTCGTTTTCATCCTCAGTCTGAGCACATGGGGCCATACACAGAGCTCCTTGATGGCCACGGCCACTTACTAGTAAAATATGCCGTTTCCGCCTGAACTTTCCTTTCCGTGCCCCAGAGAGGGGGCAGGGGCTGGGAGACAGCCACCCGTGAGGTATGTGTCTGTGCGGGCGGATCGGTGCCTGCTCACGTGTGTACTGCGTCGCACAGCATATTTGAAGGGCTCAACATTCCAGAGAGCACGGGCTCGGGGCAGGGCCAGCTGTGCCAGACTTCTCCACCTCAGCTGTTGCTCTGAAAACGCCGTTGCCTTTCACCCCGTCTGGGGAATGAGCCTCCAGCTGACCCAGCCCAGGCTGAGCCCACACGCCTGGGCCGCATCCCTCCCATGCAACGGCCGGAGACAGACGTGATGGCCAGGAAGTGTTCAGTATGGAGGGTGGCAGCTGACTATTCTCTGTTCTGCAGGTGAGGTCATCAACGTATGGGGGCGAAGAGGAAGGTGGGTGGGAGGGAGGCTGTCAGTACATAAGTACATTCCTATCCTGGCAGGTAAGGCAAGATCCAGACCTCCCATTTTTATGTGTAAATCTTTCTTACAAAACTATTATGGAAATGGAGGCTTACAGAGGTTTAGAAGGACTCAGTACCTTTCCGAGATCATGAAGGTCACGGTCACCTATGGGATCACCTATGGCAGCTGCCCGTGCGTCACTTGGGATAAAGCCACAAGATCAGAAGAGGGAGGATGGGAAGCGGTCAGAGAGCAATGTGAGACCGGCCGGGGATGACACAGTACAGGGAGCCCTTAGTGGGTGCAGAACTGGAGGTGCAGCAACGTGGCACAGATGTGTGGGAATTTAGAATCGAGATCGGACCGTGATGGATGTTCACTAGACTTACAGTGGTGATGATGTCCCAGTATATACAAATGAGAAGTCATTGTGTTGTAGACCTGAAGCTAACAACATTCTGTGTCAGTTATACCTCAGTAAAAAATGACATCTGAGAAGACAGGTTAGTGTGAGTTCCCATTTTCATAGTATCGATAACAGAAAATTTCCACCTGCTGTTTCTGAAGGAATGAAAAGTGAAGAGGACCAAAGGAAGGTTAGGTTAGCTATGGCCGCGGCCACCGTGGAAGGGACCTGGTCCTCTGTGCTGCAGCCAGGAGCTCTGGGCAGGCAGGCGGCTCCCACAGCCATGCCCTGAGGTGGCCTGTCCCTGCGGCAGCAAGGTCAGCAAGGCTGGGAAAGGTCCCCTATGCCCACAGGCACAGGCCCTCCAGCTTTGGCCTTCAGAGGTGGCTTCATGGACTCCTTCAGAGCAGCTGATGGAAGATGGGCCGGCAGCCCGGGCCCCACATCCCTCCTCGGGCTCCTCTGCACCCAGACAGCACAGCAGCCAGCGTGGCCAGCGAGGCTCGGGTGATGGTGAATGGGAGCCTCTGTTTGTTTCCACTGGGAAAGTTCTGACCAGCTTCCTGTGCCGTCTCCATGGAAACTGACCGAGGAGATAATTGAATGGAGCCTCTCTTCCTCCCATGGCCCCTCCCCCTGCCCCCACCCTGAGGCTGAGGCTGGTACAGGCCTGCTCTTTGCAGCCAGTATCTCCCCACAGGTCCATGCAAATTTGATAAGAAAATCAAAGGCCGGTTTTCCTTACTGTGCCAACCTCCTCGGGGATAAGTTACCCCATATGCAGCCTGTACCAGTCAGGTGGCCTTCCATCGTCACACCCGGTCTGGAGCTGGGCCCTGGGTCCCACATCCTGATAACCAATCAACCTTGCAGAGGGAAAGGGCAGACGCTTCCCAGACATCCAGCGGCCTCAAACCTAAGCCACATTTCCTTGCAGAAAAGCCATTCTTGGACCACGTATTTATTACAAATATGTAGTAAATTTTAAAGGGGAAGTAGTGGGAAGGAATAATTTCCATTTACAGAAAAAATGTCAACAAGGCTGTTTACAGTCCACCCCCTCCCCCTGTCATGTTATAAAAACTAGCTTTTGTGATAAAAAACAATGTGCTAAAACCCTGTTTTATTTTGCTTTTGATAGTTCAGTGATTCTTAAGATCTAAAGATCTAAATGAAATTCAGAGTTCACATCAAGGCCATAAACGGAAGGCATTTCGTTTTTACTGGTTACACCAAACCCAGAATGAACAGAAGGTGGAATTCAAGGCCCTTTCCTTTAACACCTTGATGTGTTTGCCTGCAGAGGAAACCTAAGAAGCCAGAGCTTCACCTGGCTGTGGATTCCAGTGGCCAAGTCCCAAAATTCAATGGCACTTTCAGTGCCTGTGGTTAGAGAAAGCGCAATTGATGTGGCTTTGGGCTCACGGCGTCCTGCCTGGCACTGTGAATACAGGAGAGGCCCTGGCCTTCATGAATCTGGTATTTCAGTGGGAAGAACATCGGTCTGGGTGTCTGAAGAGCTGAGTTTAAGCTCCAGCCATGTGACATACAAGGGAAAGGTCACACGAACACTACAGACCTCAGTCTCTTCATCTGTATGATGGGCTCAGTTCTTTTCAGGGTCTCTGTGAGCCTGAAATACGATGACATTTATATGAATATACTAGTACTTGGTAAACCCAAACCCAATGCTTCATAGAAATTGGTCATTTTTACTCCTTCCCCACAGTTAGGATTATATTTACTTAGGTGTAACCGAAACCACGTTGCCGTGTTGAGGCAAATGGGGGCATATATTTTTCATTTAGCAGGGAGTCTGGAGGTTCTAAGTCTGATACAGCTGCTCAAGGAATTTTTTCTCTCCTCTACCATCCTTACTATGTGTCTCTCTTCCTTATGAGAGAATGACCACTGCTTTGGCACTGTGCCCATGTTTCGGTCAGTACCCACGGGAAGGGCAAAGGGCAAGAGACATGTGAAAACTGAGTCAGTCCTTCTCATTATGAAAACACCAGCTTTCCCAGAAACACCCTGCTATACAGTTCCAGTTACATCTTGGCCAGATGCTGGCACCTGGCCTTGGCGAGCTGCCAGCCAGCGTGGGGGAGGTGAGTATCTTAACGGGGGTACACAGCCACCCAGGCAGAAAGAAGATGAGCATGGATGTTAAGGTGGAAGGCAACAGGCCTTGCCTCCTGCTATAACCACTCACTCAGGCAGCCTGTTGATATCATCTAACCAATGATACTGTACATCCCTGGACGGTGTGGGCCATGTGTGCACGATCCCCCCCCCCCCTGCCCCCCAAGCTTCCCAGGGCTTCATTATCTACACCAAACAACACATAACAAACAGGAAATCCTCGTTGGTCGTTTTTATACGATGCTGCTCAGTTGCTGATGCCTATTTATATGAACTTACAGGCAAAACAATAGTCTGCACCGTGTAGTATGCCATGGGGCGATCCTGAAGAGCTGGGAAGGCCGTTATGACTTTCCAGAGCTTTCACTAGTGCTGTCAGCAGCGAAGCTGGCATCCCAGCAGCAGGTGTTTGTCAACTTCTTAGGCAGTTCAGACCCACGAGTCCACAGATGAACACTAATATGGCCCAGCTGGAAAAGAAGTTGCTGGAAACTTGGGAGGATGAGTGTATTCTGTCCCGGCTTTGATTCTCCCTGCCCCGAGCCCACTCCCCGGGGCATGTTCAGTTCTGCACTTCGGCACTGGTATCGTCCTGGCCTGTGTGACGTTGAGGCCCGGACACAGCCCGGCCGAGGGCCTCTGTTGTGGAGAGGTGGCTCGTGGATGCTCCTCAGGCACGAAACTCTTCAACGTCTGCCGGCGTCCTGCATCCTTAACTTTCGGTACCAGTTACCGGTGGTGAGTGAAAGGGCACAAACATCGGTCAGTGCCCCTCCGTGAGGGATTTTCGGATTCGGCATGGGTGGGGCCTGCTCTTGGCTGGAGAGCTAGTCGGCCATCCCCCAGGTGCCGGAGGACCAACCCCTTCCATGTTGAGCAACAGAAGTGCCTTTTGAGAAGGACTTAGAGAGACTTGACCCCATAGGGGATGCTGAAAAAAAAGGTCAGCAATTTTAACGCTGGCTTTTTTGTGTGGCTTAGCCTGTGTAGGCTTGTTCTAAATACCATGCAAGTCACACTTGACTGAAACCTCTAGAAAACCTATGTGATCAGTAATTTTATTCTCTCTAGCACGAAACTGGGATTCAGTGAGACTCAGTCACTTGTCAAAAGTTACCCAGCCCAGCTGGTGTGGGTCAGTGGTTGAGCGTCAGGTCACTGTTGGATGTCTGGGTTTTGGGCTTGATCCCCAATAGACGGTGTGCAGAGGGCAGCTGATCAATGATGTTTCTCTCTTGCTAATGTCTCTATTCCTCCCCCTCTCTAAAAACCAACAAAGGCACATTAAAATTTTAAAAAGTTACTAGTTAGTAAATGGTAGAGCTGGGCTTTGAACCCTGGTGGTTGGAGTTCAGAACCCACATTGGAGCCATTGTGCTGGGCAGCTTCTTGGATAGTGGGCCTCCGGACAACACTTTAAAATGACATTATTCATGTGTAGATACCAGTCAGTGGCCCTTACAACTCTACGTTGACATCTATTCAATCATTGGTGTGTGTGTGTGTGTGTGTGTGTGTGTGTGTTTTAATTGTAAGAAAAACATGAGTTACTTGTATAAAGTGTAATCGAGAAAAGGAAGAGGAATTATTATATCCACCAAATTATTTGAGGGAAGTTAATGTTTAAAAAAAAAAGGAGGAACCTCAGTGATTCAGAAACTGCTGGAGTCTAGGCAGTGATCCGAAGAATGGTTAGAAGAGGTCACAGTTAGGGGGAACTTAGTAAGTGCCAGGCACTGTGCTAAGCTCTCTGTGATTCTGCTAATAGCCCAGCAAGGTGGTTCTGTTTTTATCATCACTACTTCACGTAAAAAGAAAGCATGGCTTGGATCTGTGGCCCTGCTATCCCAGGTGTGCCGGCTCTTCCGTGTGTGAGCCCTGAACCTGTGCTGTGTCAGGCCATTGCCTGGGACTCGGTACTTCAGGCACCCACCTGCCTTGATCGTTCATGAAGGTGACTTTGTAACAAAAGCCAGAAAGGACAGGCTGGGAATAGACTGTGAAAATGAAAGAAAAGGCCTCTATGGGGGTGTTTTCACCAGTGACAGGATGTCACCAACGTTGTCATTGGTACTAGATATCCAGGGAGTTCTAACAATATGCCAGATTTTGGCAACAGAATTACTTTCAGTCTGAGCCAGTGAATTCGCAAAGCTGAATTCTGTCCTGTGTATGAAATCCAGCCCCTGTTGGCTGGGCAGGGCCCAATCCCCAGGGGAAAGTCAGAGAGGCTCATGGCGTGCAGGACTGAAGGTGGCACCTGCCCCTTGCACCCATCTGACCCCGAGAGTGAACACCTCCCACACGGCGCTCGCTGTGTCTCTTGCCTCACCCTAGTCCCGGCCCTGCGGCTGGGAAAGGGGCTGACCCTTGAATTTTTACAGTCAATAGATACTGTGAACAGGAATGTGTTTCATATATATTTCTATTCAATAGTAGAGATATGCTCCTAGGATGGAAAATATCTCTGACACCCAAAGGATAATCAGAAATACGAAATTAAGGAATTACACTTTACACAAAGTGATTTGTCACTAAATATGCAAAATATGACTGTGAGAGGTTAGTTATGTTTAAGTCAGAAAGAAAAGGAAGAGATTAACTACTAAAGAGCCCCCCAACCCTCTTACCTTCCTCCCCGCCCCCCCTCCCCCCTGTACACGTACACAATTCAGTAGCAGAGGTCTCAGTCCTTTTTCCACGTCCTCAGGCAGACGCTGCTGGCTTTGGGGCCTGCCTTGGCAGGCAGGGACGGTGCAGGAAAAGACCCAGACACAGCAAAAGCCCTGATTCAAAATTCAGCAGGAAAGAAACTCCTGGAGAAGTGTATTTCCGGAGACTCACAATAAAGAACCTTAAAAATCTCTTAAGCATAGGTTTTTCCAGTAACGCATAACATATGTTCCTTTCTTAGAAATTGGGTTATAACAGTTTTTCTTTTTTGTGGTTGTTTGGTTATAATGAAGTTTCTGGACAGTCCATCAAAACAAACAATGAGCCTGTTTGAGGCATTCCTTTGTGCGTGGGCATTCACGCTGGTGCCTGGTGCGCCAGACCGAGCTTGCAGCCGGGAGATAGAGTTGTCTTTGCCTGGAGGGACCTCAGACTCTTTGTATATAAATAGACATAAGCAGAAGAATGAGTCTGAGCCAGATTGTTTGGCCCCTTTTCCTTCGACAGGCACACGAGAGGATCACGCCATTGCAACACAACCAAATCCTGAAAAGTGTTGTCGAAACACTTCGTGCTGATAAACCCGTAGGGCATGTTCAGGTTTGGTGTTGGAAACGTGCTCTGCCTTTACAAGTTCTTCTGAGTATCATTCCAGTCATTTACCCAAGGGCAGGACTAATGTAGACTCTGTTAATTCCTGTTATGTAAATGAGCAGCATGGCGGCGTGGACAGGGCATTAGCTGGGGAGTCAGAGCCAGAGCTTCCCCCACAGTGCGGTCCTTGCCCAGGCTGTGTCCTCTGGCAAGTCCTCACTCCCAGCGCCCTGTGAGGACCCTGTTCTGTTCTGGGAGGGTCAAGAGGGTGTGTTCTGTAAGAGGTGGAATTCTCTACAAATGCAAAGAATTTCATTTTGACCTGTTAGTTTCTCCTTCTCTGTGGTCTTAGGAGCCTCTCCACTGTGAAGTGATCGAGTCAATAGAAGGGAAAGTAGAGCGACCTAGAATGTGCCCTGGATGCCATTGGCGGCAGTGATATAGTTTGTGTAGAATTGGTTTTAATGTTACCCTGGTTGGAAAAGGGAAAAGGTGCTCTCCGGGTCTTCCTTCTGCCAACTGACCACTTCCCCTAAGTCGCACCGACTCTCCATCTTCTTTTCCTGACCCCTGGACACAGATTGCCCCGAGCTCAGCCTTGATACAGCTCCTCTTCCTTGTGCTCAGTTGGTCTCCTAGCTTTCAAGATGCACATGACTTCCAAATGCCCATCTCCAGCCCTCAGCAGCTCCCCAGCACTGTGGTCTCCTGTATCCAACAATCTGCCCTGTATCCCCACAGATGGTCAGTAAGCTCCTCCAACTTAGGCGGCCAAACTGCTCTCCTCTTGTTTTCCTCCTCCGCTCTTCCCGACCCGGGCCTCCCCATTCGAGGGGCTGCATGTTACGTCAGCACATCATGTAGATCTCTGCTCAGCTGACACCTCTTCAGAGGCCTTCTCTGTCCATCCCACCTGAAGTTCTCCCACATCTTAATCTGCACCCGCCCCTTGCTTCTCTCCCCCCTCCTAGTGCCATTAGAATAGGGACCTTACCAGTCTCATTTATCATCCCTGTTTTCAATGCCTCAGAGGATGCCAGACTTTAATGGGGGCCGAATAAATATTTATTAAAGGAAGGAATAAATGAATTAAAGAAAGAAGAAAGAAAACAAAGGGAGGAAGCAGTTTAACATAGAATTTGCTAAACACTGCGGTAGAACAAAAGGAATTGGTGAAGTTCTGGGAATGCTGTCTCTTAAATTATTTTTTTAAAAATCTAATTCATAAACTCATTATGAATGTTCTCTAGGCCTTCATTGCGGGTTAAAGTCGTTTAGGGATCTTGAGGAAAAACGTAAACATTTATGCAGTTTTGGAGTCTCATAATAGTAGTTAGTAAAGGTACTCAGATTGAGTTCAGACTAATGCTGAACTTGGAGATTTTTAAGTGCGTAAACAGATTTTCAAAGTGCAGCAGAACGTTGTTATTGCTTCCTAGCCATCGAAACCTGGGCTGAAGTCCCCATCTTTTTCACTCTGTTGGCAATGAAAGTGATGGGCAGGCAAGGCCGGACAACCTGCTTCCAGAGCTGCCCTTCGCAGGCCTGGGCGTCTGGCTGGAAGGATGAATTACTAGAGGCCTTTGGAACTGACTTCTGAGCATTAACTTCTCCCCCCAGGAGATCAGTAAATGACCCCTTCCACCTGCTGCCATCACATTTGGAATTCGGTTACATCACTGGTTTCTGCTCCTGCCGAGTGGGTTTTATAATCAGTCTCAAGGAGAAAGAAAGGTGATGGCATGCCGCTTCGCTGCTCTGCCAGCTTCTGTTTGCAGGGACAGTTCACTGCGTCCAAATTAAACTTCATGCGGTGCAATTTTCCCCCTTTGCACATTGATGAGTTGGGTAGCCTCACGCTTATGAAACATTGCTTGCTATTCTGTGGCCAGAATCTAGGCCAGAATCTAGACGGTGAACTTGTGAAATTTTAGAAGTGAAATCCCCACTGGCCATGGCAAGATAAATAAAGAATCTACAGTGCCATCTGCTGGCATTCTAAGGAAATGCACCTCTTATAAAACAGGAAAGATCCAACGTGCAAACCTGAGCGTAAATTACTCAAAGTGTGTGATCATTTGAAGAACGTAGATGTAAACAATGAAAGAATTGTAAGTCGATGGGTTTGCTGGAGAAGTGATTAATTACCTGGTTTGGGGCCGTGTTGACGGTTCAGGTTCTTGGGGTTTATCTGTATCAGCAGTCAAACTGGCAGCCAGGCTGGGGCAGGGCGTGGACCAGATCAGATGCCCAGACATGTCCTGAGGAACTTGGACACATCTTTAAAAACATTGGATTATTTGCCGTCACTTAAAAATGTGGAGCTCTGATTTTCAAAAAATGCAGACTTCTGGCTCTTCTTTGACCATTAGAAGATCTAGCAAGATGCATAGTGCACTTGCCAATTGGCAGCTACTGACTGGAGGACCTACATACTGGCTGCCCTCTTTTTGTGGGGACATCCAGACTCCCGTGATTTGGGGGTCCCCCACTCCCTCGACATCCAGACTTCCGTGATTTGGGGGTCCCCCATTCCCTTGATTATTTCTCCTACAGCTGACAACCTTGCTTACTCCTGGCCTGAGTGGCATTTGTGGTCCTAGGCCTGTATTTTCATTATTATTTGCCTTCTTTTTCCCATTAGCACAAGAGGCTTCCCAATGGCAATAATTTCATGGGTAGCTAATAGTTGACAGGAATGGAAGATAAGCTACCTCTGTGATCACCGAGTGAAGTCCGTCCCCTTCATTTAATAGAGGTCTTAGCCTGGAGTGAGTCTTTAATACATGTTGACGAATGGTACACGAGTGTGTTTCTAGAAGGGCAGTTGCTGGCTAGCAAAGGCCGTTGGTAAATATCTTATAAAGGTTTTGCTGGCTCTGCTGAGTAATATGGATGCTGGCTCAACCAATTGGGACTGGCAGTTCTCCCTCGAAGGCAGGGCTTCCTGGTAACCAGACTTGTTTTTCTTTTCTAGGAACTCTCTTCACAAGTCAAACTCAGAAGACAGCGCTGTAGGTCAGTACCATGTGTCTTGGTTTATCTATTTTAAATTAGTTATTTTCTTGTAATACTTTATAAGATATATAAACAGGTGAAAATACAAAGACCACCAAGAAGCCTTCCAGCCTGAAATAAACACTGTTAAGATACTGATGTTCAACTTTCCTCTGATTTGGAACTTTTGAATCAAAGATTATGTCCAGTGAGGGTGTTATAGACTTTATGTTTCCTTGATGATAAAATCCACTCTTGATGCAGTGACATTTTTTCTGTTTGGGTCAGAGGGAGCCTGGCAAAGCAGTCGTGATTAGGAAGGATCATGAATGCTCAAATCAGGCTTTGATCTGGATTTGAATCATGACTCTGCCAACTTCATAGCTATGACCTCGGGCAGACCACTAGCCTCCCCGAGCCTCGGTTTTCTCATTCACTGAATGGGAACAATAAAACATCATATGTTCATTGTGAGTATTAAATGAGATAGCAGAGTGCCTGGATATAGTAAATGCTGCGTAAATGTTAGCTATCACCATTTATTTTTTAAGCCGTACCTTCATTTTAGAAAAAAAAATGGTAGAAGGGGGAGTGTAGTTTACAGTCAAAGAAATACGTTATATTCCAGATTGCCCAGGAGAAAGGTTGGCTGAGTAATAATCCTACTTCTGCTTTCACCTTTCCTGGTTTACCCCAAAGGCAGCAGTGCTCCGTCACGCATGCCCTCAAGATGCTGAGTACCCAGGGAGTCTCAGGCTCGCTGGCACTGGTTCCCATCGCTCCAGAGGTTCTCAGGACTTAGATGAGCACATCTGTTTTGAAAAACGATGTCCTTTCTAGCCCGGGACACTGTGGTGGGGTTTCCACGTGTCTGTCTTCTGCGGCATTGCCTGGCACCACCAGTCTAGACTGTGGAAACCAGCGGTGTGCCACTGGCTGGGCCCTGTTTCCAGGGGCTGTGGGGCAACCAGACTCCAAAGGGAGACGAAGCTGCAGCTGTGAGCGTGTCACCTCTGCATGGGAGCACACGTCGCTGTGCCGTTTCACTTTATTTTTAAAGAATAAAGGATCCCACTGCCCTTTCATTTTACTCGCCTTGTTTCCCTTTGCTTTTTAAATTATTACATATTATTGATGATCAGAACTCCTGTCCACCCAACCTTCCCCCTCCCCCCCAGATATTAAAGATGTCTAGCTTATGACAATGTTTTCATTGGAAAGTCACTCGTAGTCTGAGAAAGAGGGGGACCCACCCTGTTGGCAGTTGTCACAGCAGGATAGTATTCTGCTTTTCTTGTCATTGTGCCCTGGGTGAGCTATGGGAAGGTCACCAGGTAGCCTGATGCCAGAGACCTGGAATCCTGCCCCCTCGTTGTTAGACGCATGCAAGCTCCGCACCTTAGGGAACCGGCGTGGGGCACCCCTCAGGCCTGGGACCCAGCCCCAAGGACCAGTGAGCACAGGCTGTACCAACCGCTCTCTCCATGAAATCTGGGGTAACAGAAATGAATCCAGGGTAGATCGACAGCATGAATAACAGCAAAACAAAGTAAACGTCTTCAAGTATCCTGTTTGTGGTTTACTTGAAATAATTGTGGCAGAGACCAAAGGGGGTGGGGGATATACCACCAGACAAGGCAGAATTGTATATACTAGTTAAACATCAAAGAGAATATAAGAATGCGTGTTTTGCCTGCCTTTTTGATGTTT